GGCAAAACTTTCAGCCCAGATACGGCGATAATTATAGGCTGTTCTATTCGGGTGAAGACAGTAGTGTGGCCCTATGGCAGATGGCTCTGTTCTATTGGTGGGGAGCAGCTGCACCTGCTGGAAAACGGGCCCAGCGTCCCATATGACATGCATATCATATACAGAAAATGATATGTACAACCTAAAGGTTGATGGAAGATTATGAGCGGAAAAAGAAAAAAGGAGTAAATGGCAAAACCACCCTCATACAGTGGATTCATACTGACGGTCGCTGCCTCTCCAAGTGGTCAGTGACCAACCAGCCAACCACTCGACCTGTCGGCACGTACCGGTTAGATGCTGGTCGGCACCCTGCAAAAAAAATAAAAAAGAAGTGGGACCACCATAATTCCCCCAACCCCCAATAACCCCCCCCAAACCCCATACAACCCCCATACACGGCCCCAACACCCCCATTCCCCCCCATCCCCCCCATCCCCTCCTAACCCCCACATACCCCCCGGCCCTACCCCCATAACCCCTTCCACCCTCCCCCCCCGCCCCAACACCCTTCCCAAAGTTTCTCAGTGGATTTGGGCTGTACTCAGCAAGCGCAATACAGCCCCGAACTCAGATATAAAAAAAAATCACTGGATGGCACTTCAAGTGGGTCGTAATGCCATTTGGCCTCATGAATGCCCCAGCCACCTTCCAAGCAACAATGACGACGGAGTTTCGAAACATGTGGGACCGGTTCGTGCTAATCTACCTCGACAACATCTTGGTTTATAGTCGGACCTCACCTATGCGCCGTTTTGGAGAGGCTACATGTGGCCAAGTACAAGGCCAATCGAGTCAAACGCAAGTTCGCTCAACAGGAGCTCAAGTACTTGGGCCACTTTGTGATGTCGCAAGGCATCCGTCCGGTCACAGACAAAATTCAGGCCATCCAAGATTAGCCGGAACCCACCAATACCACGGAGGTTCGCTCCTTCATGGGATTGGCCGGGTACTACCAACACTTCATTGGTGGATGCACGAGAATCGCGGCACCTTTGTCACGACTTCAGTCCCCAAAGGTTCCCTTCCATCTAACCGACGAAGTATGGAGTGCTTTCAACAAGCTTAAGACGATGATGCTCATGGCTCCCGTTTTGAGCATATACGACCCCACCTTGCCTACGAGAGTGACTACGGACGCTTCCGACTATGGCATTGGTGCAGTCTTGGAACAGCACGACGGTGTAGATTAGCATCTGGTTGAGTACTTCAGCCAAATGGTGCCTCCCATCAACTCACTTGATGATGCGAGGAAGGCGGAGTTGCTTGCTTTCGTCAGGGTACTTGAAAGGTGGCGATACTTCCTCATCGGGCGTCATAGGTTCATATGGTTGACCGACAACCCGTTGACCTACTACAATTGGAAGATGGATGTACTACATCGACCAGTTCGACCTCACATCGAAGCATATGTCGGGCCTCTCCAATCGAGCGACGGGTGCTCTTTCATGATTAGCCGATCTTTGCGCATTGACGCACCACGCCTTTGACTTCGACAAGGACCTACATCAGCATTTTGTACGAGTGTACAAGTCCGATCTGTAGTACGCCACACTCTACGAGGAGCTCTCTTCGGATCGCCCGTTGGCTAGCCATTACTACATCGTCGACGGGCACTTGCTCCTCCATTGGCGAGGCAAGGATTTGTTATGTGTTCCAAAGGACTGTTGGTTACAGACTCACCTCCTTGGAAAGTACGGTGACTCGCAGTTCGCCAGACACTACGGAGTCAATCATACGGTTGCACGACTTGGTCAACGATTGCGTTGGTCCGACGTCATCACCGATGCAACGCGGTATTGCGAGTCATGCGATGTTCGTCGGCATAACAAGCCCCACAGCCACAACCCCTATGGTGAGTTGCGACCGTTGCCGATCCCCGAGAACCCGGAGTGCCTATTGCCATGGACGTAACCGACCCCTTCCCTCGTGATCGCCTCAGCCATGACGATATCCGTACAATCATTGACCGACTAAGGAAGTACATGCAGTTTCTTCCTTGCAAGTATCATGCGAAAGCTCCCGAGCTCACGAGACTCTTGCACACGGGCTGGATTTGCGGCCACGGCGTTCTGGAAGACATCGTTAGCAACTGTGACGCTCGCTTCATGTTGCCATTTTGGACCTCCCTCACGAAGGAATCCGACAACAAGATGAAACCGAGCTCGGATCGACACCCACAAACGAACAGCAAACGGAGCGGGCACATCAAACCGCTCACATGATGCCTCGTACACTCATCTGTCCGGACCAGAAAGATTGGGTTGACCGCCTCCCTGACATCAAATTCGTCTACAACACTTTGTTGCATCCTACGATTGGCGTGACTTGCTTCGAGTTGCAACACGATGGCTGGAAGGGTCGTATCTTTGCAGATCTTCTCTTCCCTCGGGCAACCGACATTGGCGTCCCTTGCTCTTCCGCCTCCATTCGGAAGTACCGGGACTTGCTGGCCAAAGCCCGCACAAACATGCAAAAGGCTCAAGTCCGCATATAGTAGCAAGCAAATCGGCGTCGCGTGCCATTTCCTATCCACGCCGGCAACCTCGTATGGGTTTCCTCCGAGGAGTTCGCACTCAAATGTGACGTGTGACGCAAACTCCTCCCCAAGTGGTTTGGACCATGGACCGTTGTATCAGCCACGGGCAACGAGCCCGATGGCCCATCGTTTGTGATGGACATCCGCCGCATCTATTGGTTTCACACTTCTAAGCTGGCTACCTACATACCAGCCAAGAGTGACGACTTCCCAGGCCGGTGATAGCGAGAAGTCCGGTGATAGCAGGACCCTCCTTCTATGGATGGTCATCAGGAGATCAATCGGTTCGTCACGCATCACAAGTACGGCAACAACCCCATGCAGTACAAGGTTGCCTTCAAGCAATGCGACCACTGCGCCACACACTGGATTTCACGAGCAGCCTTTGCAAGCATCCGTACCGCTTATCTACACCGACTACAAGAAGCAATGACTTGCAAAGGAGGTTTCGCAACCTTCCCATCCCACCTGGACTTCGGTCCCTCCCTCCGACAGACAGCTTCACCCTTGCAGGTAGGCTCGATCTTTCAAGGACGAGGGGGAGTGGCATTCACAGTCCCACACGGGCCCCGATAGGGCCCGACCAGTAGGATTAGGGGCTGTTCAAGGGTCCTAGGGGTGTAGGTTCTAGGGGAGGATCTGATACCTGGTCCAGTTTAGACACGGTGTTTTTAGGTCCGGGTTAGGACCTGTGACGTTTGACAGGCCGGTTAGGCCAAGCGTTAATAGTCCAGGCCCTGGTGCAGTTTTCTTTTGATGCCAGGACTCTGGACGGCGGTTCAATTAAACGTCAGGCCGTTGTAGCCCCAGTCACATTTTTGGCGGCAGGACATTTTCGTTTGGGTGCCAGGTCTCTTCGTTTGAGCGCCACTTCGATTCAGGCTCTGGCCTTGGCACGGTCGGCCTCCCAGGCAGTCTAGCGCTATATATAGCTGGTAGTAGTCGGTAGGTAGTCTTCAGCAGTAGCTTAGTCGACTCGCTGGGCGCAGTAGCATTCGAGTGAGCCCTGACCTCTAGTAGAGGTTGACGGCATCAGTGGCGGTTGGAGCTTGGGCTGCAGCACGCTGCAGCGGTTGCTAGCGGAGTAGAAATGAGGCAGAGGCCAGGGGGCTTACCTGATGACCTACCTGATGACTTCCCTGTGACGCCATAGCTCCAGCTTCGTCTTCAGCGCGTCCTCACCTGCATCAAGGCACTGCCTTTCTGCAGGTTAGTGACTGGTACACGGAGAGAGAGAGAGAGAGAGAGAGAGAGAGAGAGAGAGAGAGAGAGAGAGAGAGAGAGAGAGAGAGAGAGAGAGAGAGAGAGA